GCGACTGTGATGGCCATATCTAGGCATTTGTACACTGTTCCAAGTAGAATAAGCTTGCCTAAGAACACATCTAATGGCAGTCTTGCTAGCTGATGACCGAGGGGGGTGAGCTCTTCAGCTGCAGTGAGAGCGCGGACATCAACCAAGGCATCCACCGCACGACGGATGTTCTTGGCCGATGGAGGATCCAGAGCACTTCCTAATGTTTCTTCAATACCTCCAATCTTGCAGATTTTGACACGAATAGCCAAGTCTTGCAGGGATAGACGTAACATTTCGGGGGTTTGTTGGTCGTTCATTAACTTGTCATGTCTATACTTGGTGAACATGTGGAAACACAGGCCTTCTTGAACACGACCGGCACGTCCCCTTCGCTGCTTCGCGTTTGCCCTTGATATGAATGTGTCTATCAAGCGAGATAATTGTCTCCTTTCATCGTAACGCATCTCTCGATGTTTCCCGGTATCAATGACACAAGTAACATCAGGAATCGTGATACCCGTCTCAGCAATATTGGTAGCCAAGACAATTTTGCGAGTACCGGGTGGTGGGACGAGGAAAGCAGACTCCTGATCCTCGGTCGCGATCGTAGAATGGAGAGGATACACTAGCCAGTCGCGAGAAAAGCGAGGATCACCGAGGAGAAGGTCATTGAGCGTGCGGATCTCCGCGATACCGGGAAGGAAGACGAGTATAGCTTTGCTGTATTCTTGTAAAGATTCCGATGAAGCTATGTGAGCAATTAATTGGACGACCAAATCAGGCTCAACACGGTATTCATCCATTTGAGCAAGAGTGCCTCTCGTGGCTGGCGAGTAAGCTGTGAGGCTTTTAGATAAATCGCTTTTGGGGCCATCGCTATCGCTCTCATTTGGATCTTCGTCAAGGTCAACCATTTTATCTGCTGGGGAGTCTGACGGAGTGTAACCAGTGAGCTCGATGGCGTCTTCGAGATATTGAACCTGAACGGGGAAGGTTCGCCCTGGAACGTTGAGAACTGGGGCACCACCCAGATATGCTGAGAATCGGTCCGCATCAACTGTGGCAGACATGAGAACAACTTTGAGATCAGGTCTTTTCTCCATGAGACGCTTAAGGACAATCAATAGGAAATCACTGTCGATGGAACGCTCATGAACTTCATCCAGTACAAGATGAGATATACCTTGAAGCTCATTCGACCCTTCAAGCATTCGCATGACAACACCGGTAGTTGCATACACCAAACGCGTTTCCCTCGATGTGTTTGATTCGAGGCGAATAGAATAGCCAACCAGTGATCTGTTTGTTCCAAGGTCATTCCGGTTCTCGCCCAACTCCTCGCTTACTCGTCGTGCCAACGAAATGGCGGAGATGCGGCGGGGCTCAGTACAGTAGATTTTGCATGATTTCCCTTGGGACAACTCGTGCTCAAGCAAGAAAGACGGGACTTGGGTGCTCTTACCGCTACACTGCTGTTAGCTTTGCTCTTCTTAAAATAGTGTCCAACTGAAACTCACCATCCTGTCTCACCACACACGATAACAACTTGGTTACTGTCGACAGCACCCAATACCTTCTCTCGGAAGTGCCACATTGGGAGTTGCATTCGAGATTTCTGTAAATATGTTAACAGGAGGGAATATGTGAGAAGATATGAGCAGAACTTACGAGCATAGTTTGATACTTCTGGGAGTTGGACTTGTCTGACCAAATCTTCTTGTAGACATCCACATTTGCGGTGTGTGGCTTCGATCTGTCTTGACTTCCATTCTCTCCTGAGTCGGACAGATTCTTTGTTCCTCCTCGCCCGCGGAAAGCGTTAGTTAAGATAACACCATCTTCAAGTTCCTGATTCTTTCGTTCGCGGACTAGATCCCGAAGGTCCTTGACCACAAGTCGATCTTGTGTATCAAGATGGGTTTTCTTTGCCTCTGCAAACTCCAGCCAAAGGTCCCGCCATGCTGAGGGAAGACGAAGGTTGACCTTCTCCTCCTTTGGATTATTGCTGAAAATGTGGAATAGGGCTGCTGTTGCTGCGTAGGCCTCGGATTGTTTACTGTCCGGGGTTGATATGTTAGTCATAGTCAACGCAAACTGAGTAGAATTGCTGTAGATCTCAACATCTGAATTCAAGACATGCTGAGGTGTGTCTTGAGGTTTTGCCCAAGTAATATCAATGGCGTGGCGATTTGCGAATGAGGTCTGGGAGATGAGCGAGTAGATGATTTTGACGGCAGGGTCCCTACAACGATTAGTTTCCTATCATGGAACCTGTTTGCCTGCCAGTAGCCGACGTACCTTGAACGGCATGCCTCTTCTAGAACCCGGCGAGGGCTGACGCCAGTCCACTTTCCAAAGTCCCTGATCACGATCTTGGCGCCATCGGCGGAGGTGATGACCGTGTTAGTTTTGCCAGTTGTTGGGTCTACCTCATGCTGAGGTAATGAACCAAACAGATCACCGAGAAAATCATCTTCTCCTTCATTTCCCTCCTTTAATATTTCAGCAGCGATCCGCTCTGCTTCTTCATTTACATCGTCCAGCGGGTCTGGATTTCCAGGGTTGTTCCCCAACTCTGAATCGGATTGTTCATGGGTTTTAGCCTGTTTCTTGGCGACAGCGATTTCTTTTTCCAACGCAATTCGTTGGGTTTTCCATTGTTGCTCAGCAAGAAACTTGTCAAATAGAACGTCATTTTGGATCTTTTCCAGCTTTGCCTTGAGCTTAGCAATGGCAAAGTCGGTTTCGGAATCTTGGGAGTTCTCGCTCTCCCGGGTAGACTTTTTGCGGCCACTTCTTTCATACTCCAAGAGGTCCTTCTGTGCTTTTAGATATTCTGGGATAAGGTTGTCTGGCTCGATTTCCTCATCATACGTCACAACAATCTTCTTGGTTGAAGTGGAAGGCTTGCCGTTTCGTCCTTGCTGGCCGGGTTTACTTCGAGTTGGCAGACGTCCATCCGTTTGTTGTGGTGTTCCTGAGCGAGTTGGAATTGGACTGTCGTTTGGCGTATCTAAAACAGTGATTAGAATCAAATCGTGTAGACGTGCAATCGTGAGGAGATCGAGAAAAACCTTTTGGAGTTGGCCGTGGCCTTGATTCATATGCTGGGAGTTCATCTGCCTGGCATTCTCGGGCCAGCCAATCCAGCGCCTCCTCTAATCCCCAGAAGAGATCCTTTCCGGCAGAAGATATGTTGGGAGAAATATCCAAAATATAGCGAATGGCTGCCTGGATCCGATTCTGTGGAAATTCGGCTGCCTCGAGAGTTTGCTGGAGCGTCCAAAGACGGATTATCATGTCGTCCTCAGCCGGCATTTTCCCTGCATTTAGTGTATCTGAGGACATATTTGATGAAGCAAAACGGCTTTCTGCCTGAATAAGATCTAGAATATGATCCATTAAATCCGGAGGGAGCCATTTTGGAATATTGATTGTGTCAGCCTGGCTGCGAAGAAGACGGCGCTCTGTCTGGAGACGAGTCTTTTGACGCTGAGCATCACGCTTCACCTTCTGCGAATGGGCCTCTACGAGGAGTTGAAGCTCGGACTCCTCAAGTTGCCTTTCAAACTCCTCGGGACTGAGAACCTTCTCCTTGCTGGAAGTATCGGCGCCAGGCCCTTGTGCGGTAGACGGCGGTGGGGCTTGATCTTTTTTGACCGTTGGGGGGGCATTGGAAGCGGCATTTGAAGCGCCCTTGCTAGCATCCTCAGTGACCTCAGGTCGAGGTTTGGAGGCGATCGATGTTGTTGCAAACCCACGCGCAGGGTTGGCAGCAGGCTTCTTCTTTTTCTTGGCTCCTGCCATTGTGTCCCGGTTCCAAGTCGACGGACTTTGTTTACTGGTTAGAAGGGGTGTAGTTCGAAATGTGACTGGCTGGCAACGTGGATGAGATTTTTTGCGTGAAATACGGAATGCTGGGACCGTGTAGAGCGAGACGGTATCTATGGATCACTCCCTGAGGCCTGCTTGAATTGGAGCTTCTTCTCAAAAAAGAGATGTCTGGAGCCTATCGTGGATGTGAGTTGAGGCTCCATCTAGAGAACGGCACTCGAGGAATGTGATCGATGATGATAGCGAATTGGGGTGATGCTTAGCTTGGGAAGGGAAGATGAAAAGAGCCAAGATAGCAATGGACCGCGCAACAGCTTGGGGCTATGCGGACTGTTCGGATCTCGTGGATGGTGGGTGATGAGCGAGTTCCTTACCGGCACAAATGCAGCGACTCTTTGTTGCAGGTTGCAACGGCGGCAGGAGCTTTATTACTGGTGTGGGAAAGCACCCTAGGCTACCTCGTAGGCCTGGCAATGTGCCCTGGATGTTCCCATGAGATGAACGGATGGATTGACTTTTTAGGTCCTTATTGGGCGAGAGGAATATTGCAACACTGCCTGAGTGCCGTATTAGTGCTTTTGACCAGGCTACCCAAGTTACGACTAATACAGGCCAAGCACAAGACAAGGATGGGTTTGAAGGCGATTCGGAGAATGACTCAACGGGCAGAGCTCAGCGAAGAATATTCCACCTACCCACTACCGGTATGTACACCGTCGCCCACATAAAGCCCTGTCTGGACACACTGGGGACTTGGCTGATACCTTGGACGCTGGAATAAATCGCACTGTTGCGGGGTACCTTCACCCCTCCAGGAGGTACCCGGCCCGAAGCTCGACTGTTTTTTTTGTGGTGTAGGTACCTGGTGGAGGCTAACGTGGGGTCAAGCCCAAAGCAGGCTCATGAGCCACAATTCTGCCAAAACAACTTGCAGGACGACCATTGCTGTTGAATGGAAAGCAAGCAACGAGCTGGCTTCTATCGTTAATTTCGCCTCGAACCCGCGTCGACAGCTGCGGCTCCTACCTCCAGATTACGTCCCCCAACCATCTTCTGTTCCGCGTGTACGATTCAATCCGTCTGGGAACTTTCGTCTGGCCAGCTTTTTTTTCTCGGCGGTCCTTTGCCCCTCATGAGTTCGATGTCAAGCTCCAGTCTTGCGCCTCGACATATATAAATCTGCCATGTCTTCTTCAGCCAGCTTCGACCAGGTGGCCACTGCAGCGGCTTTATCCTCTTCTTCCATTAGAGTTCGGATCCCATATCTGCAGGGCCTCGAGGAGCGGATAAATCAGCGGGGTGCGTTTCTCTCAATGCGGCTTGAAGCCAAGCAACGCCCCCTGCCTTCCTACGAGTCGCTAAATACTGATGCCTTGTGAATACAGCTTTCGAAAAGGAGCCATTCCCCGAATTAGTACGAATCCTCTTTGGGACTATCCCTCTGTACCGAGATCGAGAGTCAAGACTTGTTGTTCAAGCATGCATTGCCGCAATCCTCAAGTCGGAACCACAACCCCAATTGCTGGGATGGCTCACCAAGACCATGCGCCATGAAGGCCAGAAGGCCGGCCTAGCAACATCGAACTCGTTCGTTTTAGTAGAGTGGTGCAGTTTACTCATGCAATCACTGGCTGGATCCCCTCTCTGGGGCCAGTTCGGAGACGATATTATCCACTGTACAGCCGATTCCCTGGCTCGATGCCTCCAATCCGGCAAACAATCAATCGCTCATTCTGCGCTGGTGGTCACAAGGAGAGGGTTCCGCAAACTTTTCGCGGCCGATACTCGCGAGAAGGTCCTTCAAGATGCCGTCAAGACCCTGACGGCCAAGTCGAGTCAATCGGTGGCCCGGCACGCACCATTGTTGGGAGTAATTGCTGGTGTTTCCTCGAGGCTACCGGCTGTGAAGCCAGCCATTGAGGCTCACAAGTCGCAGTATTACGAATTTTATACTCGAGAAATTGTGACTTCGAAAACGCCAGTTACAGCGGAGGTGGCGGCTGGCCTGAAAGACTTCTTCCAGGACTTCTCCACTCTGCCTGAGCTGGAAAAGGAGGTATTCCCAGCACTTGAAAAGGGACTCCTTCGAGCACCTGAAGTTATCTTGACTAGCGTTCTGAGACCATTGGTAGCCGCCTTACCGCCGACATTTGACCTTTCCACGTTGTTGAAAGATAAGCTTCTGAAGCATCTGTTATCAAGCATTAAGTCGAGCAATGCCTTGGTGAGAGCTGGGGCTGTTTCTTCGTTCCGAGATATCGTTCTTCGATGTCATGATGATGATATCTTGCAAAAGGTTGTCGACGAGATACTTGCTCCCTTGAAGGGGGGCAAGCTTTCGTCTCCGGATCATCGAGTTTTGCACGCTGACATGTTGGAGGGTATCCCACTTTCTGAATCCTCAGCTAAAAAGGTGATGGATGGTCTCGCCATTGTAGCTGGAAAGGAAGGAAACGAATCTGCTTTGTCAAATGAAACGTCCACTCTGTCCAAGGCCGTGGTGCAGCTACTTAAGACCAACGCTGATATTCCTAAGCCTGTGCTTGATGTATTTGTTAAAGGCTTGGCGGATAAAAAACCAGCGTCCCGTAAGCTTTGGATCCTGCGAACTGGCTCCATCTTGCGTGCCTGCGAACAGCAGGAGCCCACCGATAGCATGCTGTCGTGGGTTGAGGCTGTGACCCCAAAGCTGTTCGACAACTTCAACGAGACGGCGGCCAACGCCGCGAGTGCTGTCCAGAGCGGCCTAGCTATCGGGGCCTACATCCTTACGGCGCTTATCCCAGGGCTTCAACAGAAATTTCCTTCCGCAAAATCAGTCGCCAAAACTCCTATTGCTAAAGATGCTCTGGGCCCCACTGGCAAGCAATCTTTCCTCTTGAACCATAGAATCTACTCTAAACTTGGTGGGGAGGAGGACTTGAATTGGTTTGCCCTGGCCTTGACAGCCCTGCATCCAGCGCTGGACGAGAAAACCCCAACGGATGTTTCTATTGCATGGTCGGGGGCATTTATATATGCTATCACCGCACCAGATGTCCCGCCCTCCGTACAACAAGCAGCAGGTAAAGCATTGTCTCAACTTCATTCCAAAAACACACATCAAATATCAGGGTTTGTGACCGATGGCCTCTGGGATTTGCTTCTTCATTCGGGTACACAGGAAAAGGAAACCAGATTTGGAAGAGACCAGCTGATACAAGTCCTAAGAGCGATATGCCCGGATCGCTCTGACGGAGATGAGGCTACTGACTCGGCAGCTTTGGAAGATCAAGCTTGCTCCTTGATTGTTCTAGCACGACATGAACTTATTCCCCGATCAAGCTGGATCGATCTCTGTTTACGTATGAAGATCGACCCCGGGAATCTTGCTCGTGAACGAAAGGAAGAGCTCCTGAAGGAAATATGGACACGAACGTTGATCGAGTCCGATCCTGTTAAATTGGCTGCATCCAACGCCGCCGCTGAATTGGCCTTTGTGGCACCAGATGCTATTATCCCGAGGCTTATAGATCTTGTGCGCGCAGATCTGAGTACTGCAGGCTTAAAAGAAATCGGCCCTGTGGAGGCAGCCATCTTCAGAACACCTGAAGGAACATGTTTTGTTGATGTCCTGGCTAAAAAGGGCCAGAATCAAGTGCCCAACAAGAATAGCAAAGACTATGATATCTTGAAATGGGAGGAAGAGCTACGGACCCAACTCGAGAACAAAAAAGGCCAGAAGCGCAAGTTGACCGCCGAAGAAAATGCAAAGGTTAATGCCCAGTTGCAGAAGGAATCGCAAATTCGGAAAACCATTGGAGAAATTGAGTCACGGCTCCAGCGCGGCATTGCAATCGTTCAGGCCCTCGCGACCGGCCCACCTACCGAAGCAAAGCTCTGGCTTAACGACGCCATCACGCTTTTGCTTGGAATTATGGATGCCGGTTGCAGCTTGATAGTGGGGGATGCACCCTCAACAGCTTACCTGGCGCTTTCTGACAAGGTTGCGTCGAGACTTGGTCTCATCCGGAATTTCGTTGGAATTGGAACACTTCGATATCGTGATATAACTCTACCCGATAACTTCAACGAGGAACCATTGGAAGAATTGATCACCCGAGTTCTCTACCGTCTTCGATTTGCTGGCGAGCAGCGACCCTTTGATGCGGTTTCTGTGACATATATTCTTCCTCTCATCTTCGACCTCCTACGCAAAGGCGGTGTTGGTGCAACCTCAGATGATAGGGATGCTCAGCTGGTGCTGGCTCTAGAGTTCCTCACGTTTCATTCGAACACTTGTGAGGACGAGTCTCTTCCTCGTGCTGAACTATTGTCTGTTTTGATTGAGTCGATGCAGAAATACGGCCAGCATTACAAGCTTGTTCGTGATTGTTTTGTGGACATGTGTCGGTGCATCGCGCCAAACATCATCCCTGTGGAGATTTCAGTCCTGACAAAGGGCACAATTGTACCTCATGCAAGTGTGAGAACTACCGCCCTGCAGTCAATAAGCAGTGACGTCGACATGAGTGAGTTTGGTTATTCGGATGAAATATGGCTTGCATGCCACGACGATGAGGAGGAGAATCAAGAAATCGCAAGGGAAATTTGGGTTGAGAGTGGTGTCCAGGTTGGCCCTGATGTGCCGGAGAGAATGCTGCCCTTCCTCGAATCAAAGGACGCTCAACTTCGCCGAGCAGCTGCTCGCTCCCTTTCAGAAGCTGTCTTGTCGCACAAGGGCACGATGGATGCGGTTCTCTCAAAGTTGAAAGCCTCTTATCAAGAGCTTGCAAAACCGAGGGTGCAGTTGTTGGACGAGTTTGGCATGCCCATGAAGATGGATCTTTCAGACCCTTGGGAAGCCAGGCACGGAATTGCCACTGCTTTGAAGGAGCTTTCGTCTGTTGTTACAACGCAAGAAATCGAGATCATTTTCGAATTTATGATCAACGACGGGCCTCTAGGAGACCAAAACAGTGCTGTTCGAGCCGAAATGCTTGATGCCACTATCCGCGCGATTGACCTCCATGGGAAAAAGATGATTGATCAGTTGATGAAGAAGTTCGAATCTACTTTGGAACAACCCGACAAAAACAGCGATGCTGCCGACCGTGTTAACGAAGCGGTGGTGATTATGTATGGAGCCTTGGCCCGCCACCTGGCCCCTGGCGATTCCAAGATCCCAGTTGTCATTGACAGACTGCTGGCCACATTGAAAACTCCATCAGAAACGGTTCAGTTTGCAATTGCAGACTGCCTTCCCCCTCTGGTTCGGGCCTGCCAGGACAAGTCGTCAAAGTACTTTGAGCAGATCACAGATGAGCTCCTCAATGCTAAGAAGTACGCAGCCCAAAGAGGTGCTGCTTATGGCCTGGCTGGCTTGGTCCGTGGGCGCGGAATCGCAGCTCTCAGAGAGTACCGTATCTTATCAACTCTCAAATCAGCATTGGAAAACAAAAAGGATGCTCATCAACGGGAGGCCAGCCTACTAGCCTTTGAACTCTTCGCCACCATCCTCGGACGTCTCTTTGAGCCTTACGTGATCCAGATTGTACCTCAACTTCTAAGTGGTTTTGGAGATGCGAACGGCGATGTTCGTGATGCTTGTCTTGCGGCTGCCAAGGCCTGTTTCGGAAACCTTAGCTCATATGGAGTGAAACAAATAATGCCCACTCTACTTGACGGCCTGGAAGACCAACAGTGGAGAAGTAAGAGAGGAGCTTGTGAGCTCCTTGGTGCCATGGCATATCTAGATCCTCAGCAGTTGGCAAACAGCCTTCCTGACATCATTCCTCCGCTGACGGGTGTTCTGAACGACAGCCACAAGGAGGTAAGAGCCGCAGCAAACCGAAGTTTGAAGCGGTTTGGCGAGGTTATCAATAACCCAGAGATCAAAAGCCTGGTGGATATTCTTCTCAAGGCTCTTAGCGATCCTACTAAATATACCGACGAAGCATTGGACTCGCTCATCAAAGTACAGTTTGTGCACTACTTGGATGCCCCGTCTCTGGCTTTGGTCACTAGAATCCTACAGCGCGGTTTGAACGATCGCTCGAACACCAAACGCAAGGCTGCCCAGGTTATTGGCAGCCTTGCCCATCTAACGGAGAAGAAGGACATTGTTGCTCATCTACCTGTACTCGTTGCTGGTCTCAAGGTCGCTGCTGTGGACCCCGTTCCCACCACTCGTGCAACCGCCTCTAGGGCGTTGGGATCCCTTGTGGAGAAACTGGGAGAGGATGCTCTTCCTGATCTTATTCCAGGCCTTATGCAGACTCTCAAGTCAGACACAGGAGCCGGTGACCGACTTGGTTCTGCCCAGGCGCTTAGTGAAGTTCTTGCTGGTCTTGGCACGACGAGGCTGGAAGAAACGCTTCCAACAGTGCTACAAAATGTCGAATCTTCAAAGCCAGCAGTCCGGGAAGGATTCATGTCTTTATTCATTTTCCTACCTGTCTGTTTTGGAAACAGCTTTGCCAATTATCTTGGCCGCATTGTACCTCCAATTCTGTCTGGATTGGCCGATGATGTCGAGTCAATTCGTGAGACAGCTCTCCGTGCGGGTCGACTTCTTGTTAAAAATTTCGCCGTCCGCGCCGTAGACCTCCTTCTGCCGGAGCTAGAAAGAGGTCTAGCAGACGACAGCTACAGAATCCGTTTGAGTTCCGTGGAGCTAGTGGGAGATCTTCTGTTCAACCTCACTGGTGTTAAGGCTGAGGATGAGCAGGATGAGGACGAGCCCGACGCAAAAGAAGCAGGGGTTTCTCTCAAGGAAGTTTTGGGAGAAGAAAAACGCAATAAGATTTTGTCTGCTCTTTATGTCTGTCGTTGCGATACAGCAGGGTCAGTTCGGGCGGCAGCCATATCAGTCTGGAAAGTTTTGGTTCATACTCCAAGAACACTTAAAGAGCTTGTTCCTACCCTTACTCAGCTCCTTATCCGCCGGCTTGGAAGCTCGAACATGGAGCATAAGGTCATTGCTAGCAACGCTCTGGGCGAGCTCATCCGGAAGGCCGGTGACGGTGTCCTCTCAAGCCTTTTGCCTACTCTCGAGGAAGGCTTACAAACATCCACAGATACTGATGCTAAGCAGGGTATCTGTCTTGCTCTCAAGGAATTGATATCTTCGGCGTCTCCTGAATCTTTGGAAGAACACGAAAAGACTTTGATATCTGTCGTTCGCGCGGCCCTCACAGATTCCGACGAGGAAGTGCGAGAGGCAGCTGCCGAGGCTTTCGACTCGCTACAGAATATCTTCCACAAGCGCGCTGTGGATCAGGTCCTTCCTTATCTGCTTTCTCTTCTCCGTTCCGAGGACCAAGCAGAAAATGCTCTGTCAGCTCTCCTCACACTGCTTACAGAAACCACAAGATCAAACATTATTATCCCTATCCTCATTCCTGATCTTGTCAAGCCCCCCATCTCTTCATTCAACGCCAAGGCTATTGCATCACTATCTAAGGTTGCTGGGGCCGCTATGAATAGACGATTACCCAGCATCATCAATTCTTTGATGGACAACGAAATTGATTGCCCGACAGCAGAGTTGAAGGAAGAACTTGAGCAATCTCTTGACACTGTTATTCAGCACATTGATGAGTACGATGGTCTCAATATTATCATGAGCGTACTGTTGCAATCACTTAAACATGATGACCACCGCCGAAGAGCCGCAGCTGCTCGACATTTCCGTAACTTCTTCGTGGCATCGAGCGTGGACTACTCGAGATACAACCAAGACATTATCCGATCTCTCCTCAACTCGTTTGATGATGGAGACATGGATGTTGTCAAAGATTCCTGGTCTGCGCTCAGTGAATTTACGAAAAGATTACGAAAAGAAGAGATGGAATCACTTGTACCATCCACTCGACAGACTCTTGTCCGGGTTGGTGTTGCCGGTGCTACTCTTCGTGGGTTTGAATTGCCAAAGGGTATCAATGCTATCTTGCCGATCTTCCTTCAGGGTCTGATGAACGGTACAGCCGACCAGAGAGTCCAGGCTGCTTTGGGAATTTCAGACATTGTGGACAGGACGAGCGAGGCTTCTTTGAAACCTTTCGTCACACAAATCACCGGACCTTTGATTCGTGTTGTGTCTGAGCGAGCCACAGAAGTGAAATCGGCCATCCTGCTCACTTTGAACAACTTACTCGAGAAGATGCCCACTGCTCTTAAGCCCTTCTTGCCGCAACTCCAGAGGACATTTGCTAAATCCCTAGCTGATACGTCGAGCGAAACACTGAGATCTCGTGCCGCTCGTGCTCTGGGCACGCTGATCAAATACACGCCTCGTATTGACCCCTTAATTGCCGAACTTGTGACAGGTTCCAAAACCACAGATGCAGGTGTCAAGACTGCAATGTTGAAGGCTTTGTATGAGGTTGTGAGCAAAGCTGGAGCCAACATGGGAGAATCCTCCCGAGCAGCTGTCCTTGGCTTGATCGATATGGACACTGATGAGCGGGATGATTCAATGACCATTACAAACGCAAAGTTACTGGGAGCTCTCATAAAGAATGTACCCGAAGATATTGCCCAAGGCCTACTTCGAAATAGAGTTGTTACGACTCATTTTAGCAACCCGTCTGCCCTTGCGATCAACGCTGTCCTGGTAGAATCTCCAGACGTTTTGCTCGACAGTGCTCTAGCTGCTGACCTGCCCGATTTGCTTTGCCAGGGCATTACTCATAAGAGCGTAAGCATAATCATTTAGTATACGAAAGACACAGATTGCTAACTGGAGTTGTTGAACTAGACTTTCATAGCAGATAACTTCATTCTTGCAACAGGCAAATACCTGCTCTCGTCGTCACCAAGAGGCTTTGAAGATGCAAAGAAGATATTCAGCGCTCTTGCTACTGTCATCGAGCCAGGGAATCCCACCGATTCGCGACGTTTGGCTCTTGTAGTGGTTCGGACAGTGAGCCGCAATGATATGGATGCGGTACGGCCTCACGTTCCGATCCTCGCCCCACCAATTTTCGCAAGTGTCCGAGACCCTGTAATTCCAGTCAAGCTCTCGGCCGAAGCTGCATTCGTGGAGATATTCAATGTTGCAGACGAAGAAGGCCGAGTCTTTGATAAGTTTATGGCTGGGCCAGGGGCAGATCTACCGCCGAACACTAAGAGAAGCATGGGAGATTACTTCAAGCGCGTTGCACTTAGACTTGGAAGTCAGGCCAGGGAGAGAAGGGAGGCAGAGGGCGGCCAAGGTGGATTAGGCTTGTCCAACGACGAACAGGAAGATGAACGAGAGATTTGGAGTGTTGGAAAGGTAGATGTGGGTGAAGATGTCTTCTCATAGATGAAGGTCTAAGCTATCACCATATATCCACCAATATTCTGGTGCAAAAGACATACTGCATAACTTCACAAATATGCAATAAAATAACACATAATCGATTCTTACAATCCAACCTTTTCGGTGATAATTCGTTAAATTGGCGTTCCAGTACAACACTAAATTATTGACTGCTTGTTGGTGAGCCAGGTGTTTATTGTAGGTCACCCCAGGCTTTGCTACAACACGGCACACGAAAGTACCTACAGCCAGTCGAAATTGGGGTGGAAGGTCAAGGTCACGTGCACAGATCCTTCCCAGGCGGTGACTCATGCTCCATCATAGCCCTCGCTTAGTGTTGTGTGTGGGGCAAAAAGCACGTGAACCCACAAACCCCATTTGGATTGTGTGCACCTAAGAAATTCTTGATGACTATGAAGTAAAGCCCCCTCCTCCCAGACCTGAACCTTCAACCACCCAAGGACCAGACCGTCACGACCAACGACAATCAAGATGTAAGTAGGCACGCGAAACGAACCCAATGCATCGACCATTCTTCGGATCAAGAATTATTCGCCTTCATTTGATGGCTGGCGAGGAATGTCGATGGTCTGCGTGTGGCGGCTACATTTTTTTTTCAGGTTCATAATGGAACCGAGAAATGTTTCCTACCTCACAGCACCTAAGCCAGAGGGATCAAGAGTGTGCTAATTGGATGCCCATAGGGTCAATCTCCGAACTCAGAAGCGCCTGGCCTCTTCGGTCATTGGCTGCGGCAAGCGCAAGATCTGGCTCGACCCCAACGAGCAGAGCGAGATCTCCAACGCCAACTCCCGGCAGACAATCCGAAAGCTCATCTCCGATGGTCTCATCATCCGCAAGCCTGTGACCCAGCACTCGCGCTCCCGAGCTCGCGAGCTCAACCTTGCCCGCCGAGAGGGTCGCCACAGAGGTTACGGTAAGCGCAAGGGTACTGCCGATGCCCGTATGCCTGAGCAGGTTCTCTGGATGCGCCGCCTGCGTGTCCTCCGCCGTCTTCTGGTCAAGTACCGTGCCAGCGGAAAGATCGACAAGCACCTGTACCACGAGCTCTACCACTCCAGCAAGGGTAACACCTTCAAGCACAAGCGTGCTCTCGTTGAGCATGTAGGTTCTCCCCATCTACTTCTGCCGCTGTCCTATGGTGAAAAAGATCATCATGGATAGCACTCCTTCCTGATGAAAGCAGAGATGCTAATACATAACACAGATCCACCGTGCCAAGGCCGAGAAGGCCCGTGAGACCAAGCTCAAGGAGGAGATGGACGCCAAGCGTGCCAAGACCAAGGCCGCACGCGAGCGCAAGCAAGAGAGAGTGGCAGCAAAGAGAAATGCTCTGCTGAGCGAGGAGTAAAAACATGGTGGCAACGGCTACGTTTCGGTCTTGAGAGGAAGAAGCTACATTCGGAGTCTACGGGTTGGGATTTTTGTTACGCCCTTTTGGTTTCCTCTACAGTCGGACCGGTGGCGGGGCGGTTTCTGGCATGTAGCATTGAACATGAAAACCATGACACTCGAAGCTTGGGACTCGTATTACAATTTTCCGTATTTGCTTTGTCATTCCTAAAAACGATATCTCGCCACGTCGTGGATTCAAGTTGATCTCTTGAAGTGTCGATAATTCACGTACGTGCTAATTAACGCAAGTCGAGTGTGATCAATCGGGTTCATCAATGCAAAGAGCAACTACCACCGAGTCAAGACGGAGTCATGATTCGAACAGAGAATCAGCTCTCCTGCACCGCTGGCATACCTCCAGAACACCTCCACAGCACTTTGCTTGGATATTGATCTCACCCTGAGCTTCGAGCCAACTTTTCGTAGACGCAGGATAACATATCTGTACTCTCGCTGGAAAGCAGAAGTCAAATCAAGTCAATTGATAGGCTCTCTGAAGCAAAAGAGGGGGGGGGAATCTACCGAAGCCAGTTTTTGCTTCGGGGTTCGTTTATAGGAATAGTAAATCACAAGTGTCGGTGTTCATTCGCTACACCTTGAAGAGCGCCCCAGTAAGGATGGTGCTATTGTCAGTTATGCTTCCTTGCCCCAATCGACGCATTTTGTGTGGTGTCTATACTTAGATGTCGGCTCATCATGGATTCGTTATCAGCAGCTTGCAGATAACGGGAGGTTCCTGGTGGGTAGCCAGTGAAGCATCAACACCATGCTCGGATTCTCAATTGGTAGCAGCCACCACAATATTAAGTATAAAGAAAATCACTGTATCGTATATTGCCAGATACCTACCTACTATAATGCATACATCGTGTTGTCGACACCCACTTGACTTGGGGCGGGAGGCACTTGCTGCGGGTGCCGTTAGCGGTGCTCAGGCGGTTGGGCCTAGAGGTGGGGAGCCCCAGTCCAGTGGCATGATGACGCCCACAGTCCATCATCCACCCGCGCTGCTCCTCCAGTCGGCTTCAACGGCCAGGCTATCAGATCTTATTCGCCCTTGCCTTGCCTCGCCTTGCCTTGCCTTGTAGCTGTGATAGGAGCTCCCGCCCGCTCAGCCTCTCGCTCGTCGCCCGAGTACCCCGTCGCTGCCTGCGCATCATGTGCCGCTGAAGGTCCTGGTGTTTCTAACGGCCGGTTAATATCTACACCTATCGGGCTCCCACAGCTCGTGCTATCCTTCCCCGGGGTAGCTCGCTCCCAATCATCGTACGATCACCAACAACGATTGAGCCATGGCAATGCGACCAAATGTCCGTGGCACCTCGACGGTGCTTCGTCGCCTCTCGAGACAAGCACAGCCTTCACCGGGGGTGTTTTCATGCGGCGCTGTGAGGGCAAAGTCGTCTCTGTCGCTTGACAACCAGCAACAGGTTCGTCGTCCGCTTAGCTGCAGCCGTTCGATTTGAAGTCCCACTGGGGATGGAAAGGCGCACTGCTAATATGTTCCTTTGCTTAATTAGCTCCTGAGCGCGCATCTCGAAAAAGCAGACCCAGTCATCTACAAGATCATTGAACAGGTTAGAAGTGGCCATGGAACAACCAGCCCGATAAGTCTCCGTGCTAATGCAATACAAACCAGGAGAAGAAAAGACAGAAACACTTCATCAATTTAATCCCGTCCGAGAATTTCACATCACAAGCCGTTCTCGATGCCCTTGGCAGTGTAATGCAAAGTTGGTGGCGATCTTGACACTGTCGGCGACTTAGACGATAGCTTACGATTGGATCCTAGATAAATACTCGGAAGGGTACCCCGGAGCGCGATACTACGGCGGGAACGAATTTATAGATCAGGCCGAGCGGCTATGTCAGGATCGTGCCCTGGAGACTTTCGGGCTCGATCCGAAGGCGTGGGGTGTCAATGTTCAGGGTGTGTTTCGCCGTATACCCCCTTATGCTACTATCAAGTGCTAACATATACCATGTAGCTCTATCCGGCTCTCCAGCGAACCTTTACGTATACTCTGCCTTGATGAACACTCACGATCGACTTATGGGACTGGACCTGCCTCATGGCGGGCACCTTTCCCACGGATATCAGACACCCACGAAGAAGATCTCCTTCATCTCCAAATATTTCGAAACCGTACCATATCAGCTAGACGAATCTACTGGATACATAGACTACGACAAATTGGACGAGTTAGCAACACTTTATAGACCAAAGGTGATTGTGGCAGGTGCTAGCGCCTACAGCCGCCTCATCGACTACAAACGTATTCGCGCAACCTGCGACAAAGTGGGCGCATATTTGGTGGCGGATATGGCACACATCTCTGGACTCGTGGCCGCCCATGTAATACCCGGTCCTTTTTCATTCGCAGACGTTGTGACGACGACGACACACAAGAGCCTACGTGGGCCTCGTGGTGCCCTCATCTTCTACAGGAGGGGCGTGAGGCGGCAGAACCCGAAGACGAAGGAAGACGAATTGTATAACCTCGAGGGCCCGATCAACTCATCCGTTTTCCCCGGTCACCAGGGCGGGCCACACAATCACACCATCACTGCTCTTGCTGTAGCGCTAAAACAAGCCCAGTCTCCAGACTTTCACGCGTACCAAGCGCAGGTGGTCTCAAACGCAAAGGCTTTCGCCACGAGGCTGGCCGAGCCAAAGGAAAAGGGGGGTTTGGGTTATCGTGTGGTCAGTGGCGGCACCGATAATCATCTGGTTCTCGTCGATTTGAAACCCCAAGGCGTCGATGGCAGTCGTGTGGAGCGAGTGCTTGAGCTTGTTGGTGTGGCTTCCAACAAGAATACCGTCCCAGGTGATCGATCCGCCCTCGTGCCCGGCGGCTTGCGTATGGGAACACCAGCCATGACTAGTCGAGGCTTCAATGAGAATGACTTTGTCCGAGTTGCCGACATCGTGGATCGGGCAGTTCACATCACTGTTCGTGTGGACAAGGCAGCCCGGAAAGCTGCTGAAGAGCGGGGGGAGAAGTCTCCCGGAAAGGTGAAATTCTTTATGGATCACTTAGGGAACGGTGAGAACTACCCGGACATTCTGCAGCTAAGAAGCGAGCTGGAGGATTGGGTCGGGACATATCCCTTACCATGGGCGAGTGAGTGATGATCATGTTTACATCAAGAGGGATCGGCAGCCTCAGGAAGGTTGAAGTGCATATCTTTCTGTAATCAACGCATTTACTAAGTTGCTGTACATACGTGAACATAGAACTTTTACCTGTAATTTGTTTCATCGGTGACTGAACGAAAAAAACAGCACCTTAAGAATTGAATAGCGGCAATTGCACGGGAGATAGAAGTCGTAAAATGGGTTTGATTGTCTTGGATGGCTATAGATGGGTATCATTATGTACAACTTGACGTTTGGTTTTATCATCAATCAAGCCTATGATCCTCCCTCCGTACCTTTCGCCAAGAGCTTCTTGACACTTTCTCTGGTTCTGAGCTTCTCAAAATAGCATTCAAGGTGCTCTGCGCCCTCAAATATAGCCGATCCATGCTGCTCAAACAAGTGGTGCAGGACTGGCCACAGAACAAAATCTGGCAGGGAAGGACTCTCTCCTGCCAAATACTTATTCTCCGATTCCCGAATGAGGACATTCCACGGTGCTAGATCACGTTGCAAGAACTTGACGTCAGAGCCAGTATCTTTTCTGGAGGCTTTCCGGAGCCTGATAGCCTTGAGTAGGTTGAGGCCCTGTTGAAAGCGTGTGTATTTCTTCGATACAAAAGCCGGATCAAGAACTTCGTTTTGTTTAGACCCATATATAGCATCGAGATAGAGCATTATGCTACCATCGCCCTCAACAACAGACCTGGCCGCATCATTGTCAACAAACTTGACAGGCACAATGCAGGAATCAGGCTCTATATCGCCCTTGGCTGGCCCCATGTTACCCTTGGCATGGTTGATATCATACTCAGCAAGCATCAAGGAAATGCGCATGTTGATGATAGGATCTGGTGAGGCGAAAAAGCGAGGTGAGTTGCTCATATGCAAAACATCAAAGCCTTTTCCGTAACTGGCGTCCCAGTCGAACTTTGAAGCGTGGTTCTCAGTACCAAAAGCTTTGAGCATCAGTACAGCTTCAGGGCTCTGACCGTTGATAACTGGCCGAGCGTCATCACGGACCTTTCCTGTGGCGCCTTGGCCCCAAATAAGGGTCTGCTCCTTGGATAAGAAAGTTCCGATATTTCGAAACGTAAGAGAAATACGCCCACCCGAATATGCTAGCTCATCGGCGGTCTTGTCACGTTCTGCTCTCTTGTCTTGTCGTATAGCGTGCATCCATTTCATGTTTGTGCGAAGCCCCATACGGAAAAGAGAATTATGAGGCAATCGGGCTCTCTGAACCTGTCGCTTCTTGTTGCCATGATCAGGGGATGACTCAGTTTTTGATGGGTCCTTATCCAATCGTTTTGTTCTGAGCACCATTGTTCGCTCCGCACCGAGGCTCACATTGGCGATGAATGAGTCCTTGACAATATCAAGTGTCTTGTCGCTATGTTCTGAGATGTAGTCATTGCCATCTCTATAGTACTGAATCAGTACATGGTTCAGAGGATGGCCCACTTGTTTTTCTGTGGCCTCCTTAATGGCAAAGACGGTTGGTGAAAATGTCAAAAGCGGCGGTGCTTCGTCAGATGGATGACGATAAATCGGAATGCTGCCATCCTCGGCTACTTTGCCTTGAACAGCAACCAGACGTGGCACCTCCCCGCCTTGGTGGGACATTCGCTGCCAGCTAACCTCTTGGCGAAGCTTGTCGAACACACCATTTTCGAGTTCCTTTGGGAGGACATTTTCGATTACATGTGTGTCGCCTTCGCAAATTCCATCTTGGTGTGCCTTGAGAGTCTTGTTGTCTTCACCAACATCATTGTGGTTAGGGTGAGGCTGGTCGGGTTTTGTCTCCATTTCGGGAT